GAGGGTTTTTTTAAATCTTAATGGGAATCAAAGTTTCTTGCTGTTTTTAAAGAAACCAAACTCTCCATTCCGGACTGAATCTGAGCTTTTTGTCTTAGGACGTGAAGATATCTGGTGTGGTCACATCAAGAGAGGGTTGGGAGGGAGAGACTTGCTGGTGTTTGCTGGGGTGTGCCTTCCCCCCGCCCCCCCTCCTTCTATCTAGGATAAAATGTCCCACTGAATAAGATAATTGTATTGGTTCTAACTTCAGCTGGTAGAAAGGAGACCTGGGAGTGTTGAGGATGCCTTAGCACAGGCTGGCTGCAGAGGGTGCAGAAGAGAACGGGCAGCGAGCTGAGCTGATCCTGATGGATGAGAGCCCAATGCCCTTGCTTGAAAGGGGGAAAACACATGAAAACTGGGTGGGGAAAAAGATTTCTGACTGAGATGTGCCTGAAGTGTTGCTTGAAGAGCTGTTCTCGTGAGAGGTGGACCTATGCTGAGAGAAGGCCTTTCAGAACAGAGGATACAGTTCTCACAACTTCAGGGGAGAGGTTGCTTTTATGAGATCTCTATCTCCAAAGCATCCTTTCAGTGTAGCTCAAAATATTACCAAAAGCAGCAAGTAAGCATTAAAGCATCAATGCCACTTTGAGTAAAGACCTAATCAGAACCTAGATCTTAATATGCTTTTTGGCTCATCTTTATGAAACCAAATTATTTCAGTTGTTTACAGCTGGGTGTGCTTTTTTCCATGGCTTGGTATTCTGTCTTGCCTCCTAGCAGTTTGTTTACTGATATTAGCCCTATTAGTGTCTGTTGGCAGAGATTTTCCTTTTCATTCGAGGGCTGACAGCCAGCACACCTTTGAAGTCCTTGAAGAATTAGCTGCCTTGGGAATTTTTCATGCTGTAACCTATTTATGTTTTTTTAAGTCAATTTTTGATCATTAACTGAGTTCACAGCAATCATCTTCATAATGTCATTAATGAAAGTTTCTTAACCATGCTCATGGGCATTTAGGGCATTGTGCAATAGTTCAATAAAAACATTACAAAACACAAATAATCAAGCATATAAATAGAAAGAGGAACAGTCTGCAAAGGTTTGAACATCAAAGCCTGAAGGTATTCAGGCTTTATTCAAGTCCTCCTCTCAATGTTTAAAAACAAAACAGAACAAAAATACAACAAAAAACCCCAACCCCAAACACAAAACCAAAAAAACAATGAAAAGATGCTATTAAGAACAAAACTCCAGGAGGGTGTGGTTTAAAAAAAGAAAACGCCACAACAACAAAACAAAAAAAGAAGAAAGGCCCCAAAATTGGAGAAACTTCATTCACGTGGATTCAGCACTGGTTATACCAAAGCAGCAGTTTTTAACTCAGAAATCTACCTCTTGGGGACCAGTTAAAGTATGGAATTACAGAGCTACCCACCTGCTTGTGGGGTACGCGTAAGTCAGGATAGATGTTGTGTGTGATGTTTGTATCAGAAGACACAGGCAGTGGGGGTTAAATAGTCAAAACCATATCATCAATCAAAACTTAAATCTATTGCTTTTTTTTTGCTTAATAGTCCAACACAGACCGCTAAACCATTGAAGAGTCTCCAGCTCTTTAAACCTGATAATTTGGAGGAGGTTGCTTGATATCCATTTTCCTCCTAAAACTGTATTTTCTACTAAAGCCCTGAACTATCAGTACAGCTGGAAAATATGTTTGTTAGAGAGAATAGGAAAGTATCTCCTGAGAAGTTCTGAATTTCGCTGCTGTCTTCTACGGTGGCTGGTGATGGCTGGAAACAACAATAGATACAGTTGTTGAGGACTGAGCATCTGCCCATACTAGGTTGGTATTATTGGCACTTGTATGGCAATTTAGGCTTCCGCGTAGCAGCCTGGACCTACTGGTGATTCAAATCTAAGATGAAATTTTACATGGTGGTGGTTGCTTATAGGAGAGATAAGTGCACCTCTCAGCTCCCACGTGCATCGCTCAGTAATCCCAAAGGGCAATTAGCTAATGGTGAGCATTAAGTATGTACGTAATGGGCAAATGGTATGCGTGCACACGTGTCCATTTTGGTCTCATTTCCCCGCCCCCCTGTGATACTTTTTCTCAGTGACAGAAGAAATTTTAAACATATTGATACTTCTACTGTAGCCTTCAGGTTTTATGTGGTTACATGGTGGTAAAGACTAGTTGATAGGAACCTTTTCTGTTAGCGTTCATCAATGAATTCGTCTGAATGGTACTTTTGACTTTTGCTTATTTGCTTTAAAAAGGTATGTTTTCCATTTAAGTGGGCAGTCGTTCAAGAGCTGTTGCAAAACTGTGTTACACAATGCAAGAATTCCTAATACATAAGCAATCGGCAGGCGTGGCAAGCTGTCGTAAGCTTTTTAGGTCAGTATGCCATGAATCAGTATTTATTATCTAACTTTTTTGGAGTACGAAATTTTGGCCTCGTAACCGTGCAGCTTAGTTTGGGACTGCACGGGGAGGTGGATTGTACGCAAAATACTGTCACTGCTGAAATCTTGGCATCCGTAGCCTCCAACTCAAAGCGAAGGCAGCTCTGAGATGAAGTATTAGTAGTCTCGCCATGTACAGCTTAGGCATCCTTTCTCTTCCTGAATAGCTGAGTGCACTGAAGGCGTAAAAAAAAGCTGTGTGTTCCCTGTGCAGTTCCCTCATCCGTGGGAGCTCCCTTTTTCAAGGGCAGGATGTGACCTTTGAATGTCTACAGCACTGAAACAGAGATGAAATCATTTCATAAGCAGGGATCAAAAAAGCATATTGATGGATACAGTAGTGCCCTGTGGCATTTTATCCCAGCATCGTGTTAATCCAATCTGATAATCTGTCAAAGCTCCTATTTAATGCGAGTGAATACTTCCAAATTGCGGTTCTCATTCTCCTACCAGTTTTCCAAACCACTCCCATTATAGCTGTCAGCTTTATAGTGATGACTTGGTTCATTTGATACCAAATATTTCTAATAAAGAGAAGAGAAATCCTTTGGTAAATTGATGTTTGTCAATCAGCAAGCCCTTATGCCTTTGTGGCATAAAAGTCCAAGGAAAACAGATTACGTGTGAGTCAGATGAAGCACAGAATGCTTTTGAGGAAAACAGTAGGTGAGGGCACAAGTTTCCCGATCAACGTTCCTGCATCATAAAGCAGATTAACGTCTCTGAACTGTGACCTGAAACTGCGTAGCAGATTATGTGGTTACTGCTGTGGTTGCTGTTCGTGACTGATTGCATTTAAAAGCCCTTGAGATGCTTCACAGGGGATATTTGGGAAAAAACATGTTCTTAAGTGATCAGATAGTGTTTGGGTTGAGCAGCCACTCTGCTCATGAGGGCAGTATATGCTGGATGGCATTTGTAAGTCACCTGAAACCTGTTGTTCACCTCTGAATCAAACCAGCATCTGGTTAATATTAAAAGCAGCAATGTTTTATTCCCAAATCATTCCTCTGAATCTCCTGCCGTCGGTTTTTGCCTCCAGTGTGCACTTAAAAATTTGCATAGTTTTCCAGTCTGGTTTTCAGATAATGAAGGTCATTCAGATATTGGTATTGGGATGATGTTTTAGGCTAGTCCTGTGTCTCCTTCTACAATTCTGCAAATAAATCGTCCTGTTACACCGTCACAGGCACTTACAGCATCCACAAGCTGCTTATTGCTTTAATCTCTGGACGGATTTAGAAGCCAAATGGCAAGGATGGATGGGAGCAGCACAGCACATCAGTACTCATCTGCAAGTCAATTGCAGATTTGGCTTGTGCCTTTATAGAGGCGAGATGGATACATTAGATAAAATGGGAAGACTAATGAAAACAAAGGGTGTTTCTTGCCTCTAGGGAAGTACAAAATAGCTCTGTGGGGTGTTCCAATTGCTTAGTCGCTCCTCATTTAAAAAAAAAAAATGTTTTGCCCCCAAACTACTGGAGAAGGGGAAGCTGTTTCAGAATTGTGAGGTTTTTTTCCAGAGATTTTTAGACAACTGATGGTGCAGACAGGTTTTCTGATGGCCACAATAGGAGTTTGGTATCCAGTTGCTTTTGAAAATCCCACTGACCTCTCTTGAATACTCTGTGACCATGAGCTTTTGTGTTACAGCACTGCCCGGGAATGCAGAGCTTTGTGGTCCCATTGTTTTCCTGTGCGAATCTATTTTATAGCGTGAGAGTGGTTTAGTGATTCCACAGTACACGGGATCTACTGTGGAGTTGATGGACCAGAGGTGGTTGCAGCAGAGAGGATGCCTTGAGTATGGTTGTGTAGAGCATATGTAATATGCATCCACGTTCAGGTGTCCGGCAGAGGTTGGTGGTTCCAGCTGCGTGGGGACAGTGGTGGGAGAGGCGGTGCAGACCTCGTACCCGAGCTGAACTTCCACAGCAGCTGCTGTAGGCTTACAGTGGGGTTGGAACCTCGTTGTCTTCAGCATTTTACAAATGCAGCAGCGTGAGGCTTCAAAAACCACTAAGGCGGCGTATTTTGGCAGCGGAACAGAGCCCATTTGTTTAATCTGAGAAGACCATACAAGCTAAATAGACCGTCCAGAAAAGAAAAGAGGTGAGAGCAGGAATGGAGGCATCTGAGTGCAAAATGCCTTTCACAAAGGGAAGAGCAGGGCAGTGCGGACACTGACTAAACCCCGTGCACCTCCGGTCCCTCATCCCCAGCCGGCAGCGGTGGGGCATGCTGGAGCAGGGGCTGTGGCCACAGCCGAGCTTGGAGCAGCAGATCTGCTGCCCCATGGCCCAACTACCTGCGCTTGAAACAAGAAGGTTTCACGGACCCCTTTGTCCTAATGCCAAAGCGTGCTGCCTCTTCTGTGCAACAGGCAGAAGGGAAATCTGGGGGCAAGGGTTATGCTGCAGATACTTTTAAGGAAGGGAAAGATATTCGCTTGGAGCTTTTTTTAATTCAGGTGTTTTGCAATGACCCTTCTCCTGTCACTTGAAGAACTCATGACACGTTTTCTGTTTCTATTTCAGGCCAAGAACATCCTAATAGCCTGCGGCACAAATACAACTTTATTGCAGATGTGGTGGAGAAGATAGCTCCTGCTGTGGTTCACATTGAATTATTTCGCAAGTAAACAAGATGCCCAGTTTTGATTTTTGTATTCTTGAAAACAGCTGCCAGTGTGCCAGAAATGTTGATTGATGCTATGTAATAGCAAAGAGGTTTTTGAGATGATAAATATTTGTCATGCTTAAGAATTAAAGGTAATTTAAGAATCCTGGAAAGAAAAAATAGTTAAACTAATGCATGTGCATTATCTTGTTAATGATAGTAAGTAATAGCAGATATCCTAAAGCGTTAAAAACCACCAAACACTTTTTGGCTGTGTGTTATTTGGAATAATTTGTGATCTTTCAACTTTTTACAGCAATAAATGTTTATTTCCCATGTCTTCTAGACTTCCTTATTCGAAGAGGGAGATTCCTGTTGCCAGTGGTTCAGGGTTCATTGTCTCAGAAGATGGACTGATCGTGACAAACGCCCATGTTGTCACCAACAAAAACCGGGTGAAGGTGGAACTGAAGAATGGCGAAACGTATGAAGCTAAAATTAAAGATGTTGATGAAAAAGCTGACATTGCACTAATTAAAATAGATTCTCAGGTGAGCCATTAAAGCAAGACACATTTTGGTCCTCTTAATTTACTATCCTTTCCAAAAGCTGTTGCTAATTGTCCTGTTTGAAGGAGAGGCTAATAGTTTAGTGTCTGAGTTACAGAGAGCCTTTGAGCTAGGTGGATATATGTTTTTCAAATCCAAGTTTGTGGTTGGTAGCGGTTAATTTTATCACCTGTCAGTGTAGTGCAAGCAAGTACATTGCACTTTTGTATGCATCCTCAAAATAACCACCAACATCGTTTACTGGCCAGTTTTAAGACACATTGGCTAAGATAACTCTCTTCCCCTTAGAAGAAACGGGAGTTGTTCCCTTGGGGTTGGTAGATGGATGTATTAGTCTTTCTTGTGTGCCTATATTGAAGTCACAAATTGCTTTTAGAAGATATATTTGTGCCTGTGAAGGGCCATACCGCACTGATGTAGATATTAAAATGGAAAATATCTTAGGAAGTGTCTTGAACATGTAAATTAAAGCCTGCTTGGAAAAGCGCCATTACACTGCGAGTGGGTTTCTGAACAAACGGGAATGCAACTTCCCACCCGTAGTCTTCCTCCATATCAAACACAGGGCTGTCAGCATTCTTCTGCTTCCTGCAGCAGCAGAAAAGCTGTCATGCCGTTCTGCACACGTGGACAGCATAGCGCACGTGGAATATTGTCGAAATACTGTGTAATGTAGATGCAATTAGATGCATGTGATTGCTTGGGGTGCTGCTCATATTGGTTTCCCTTGTTTGGACTGTTAGTTAATGACCTCCAAATTTAACGGGCAAGAACGTTTCATTTGAAACACATGACTCAAAAATGTGTAGATCTTGCAGGGTTGTTTTAGTTCAGTCCTATTCCCCAGTGAGGTCAAAAGTGTTTGTGCCAGAGTTCATGACTAAATCAGACGCCTAATGCAGAACTCTTGGATGACCCAAGATATGAAGTGCTCCTACTGCTCCCTTGCCACCTTTGTCATTTAAAAGCTCTTTCTTTTTCTTGTTTAAAAGCTTCTTAACAGCAACATGGCAAAAAATCTTAACAATACCAAAAATGGTTTCTGCCATGTTGTTTTTTCCTGTTTTCCTGAGGAAACCTATCGCTTGTTTTCTCATTTTTTATATTAAAATAAGCGAAAGCAGATCTGCAGTAGCAACGCAAAGGGAAGATCCCCAGAATGAGAACTGGCAGCATTAGGCTGAGTAGGATATGGCAGCAGGGAGTGAAGAGCAGCTGGAAAAGCGATTTACAATTGGAAGCACAATGTGGTGGGGAAAGTAGACCAGAAAATGGTGGTGAGAAGGAAAGGACCGAAGGCGATAGGAAGGTGAGCTTCAGAGAAGGAAGAGGCTGGTGAGTCAATGAGAGGAGACATTGAACTGATGTGACAGATTGTTTTGAGGACTTAAGAAGACAAATAGACATAGAGTTTTATGTTAATTTTGGAGCGTAAAGAAACGGCTCCAAAATTTCCCTGGTAAGCTGCTCGCAGGAAGGGAGAACCTGGAAGACTGGAGGCAGCTGGGAAAAGAGAGAATGCAGCCAGATGAGTTGCCTGTAGTGGAAATCACTGCTAAACAGGACTGGAATTGGCAGTTGTAGTTATGACTTGCAAGATGGCAGATACTCTTTTTTTTTTTTTTTTAAATTGCTGCCATGTAATTAAATGATAGTCATCAGCATCTTCCATCAATTTAATTTTTGAATGTAGTTGTGACCCCGTTTTACAAGTGGCACATCAGCTGGTCATTTGCAAGTGTTCATCATCCCAGGTTGTTATCCTCTTATGTTGTTCAGTTGTAGAGTGGGGAAGAATATATGATTTTTGATCTAACATGCAGCAGCTCTTACCGTTTTAAAAACAATTACTCAAAAATTCATAATTATCTGTATAGAACTTACTAACTCCAAGGGACAAGGATGTGTCTTTGGCTTGATATATTGACTGTTGCAGCTGGCCAACATAGCACATGCTCCAGATTATGAGCATTGCAACCATGCTAATTCACATACATTTGCAAATTCTTTAAGGAAGGAAAGGTTTTCTGTCTTAGAGGTATCTAGAGCCAAATCAGCTATGTTTTCTTTTTGGGGGTGAAGAGGGGAAGGATTGATCCGTTAATATTCGGTTCTTTATGAGAAAAAGTGTTGGTTTTAATGAAACCTTGGGAAGAGTCTCAGTGCCTGGAGGCTGAGCTCTGGCAGAAGGAGGCGAGCCGGCCCCCGCTGTCTTCCTCCCGTAAAGTCAGCGTAGCACATCTCTCTGGGTAGCAGGAGATCACATTTCACATCTCAGCTCTAAATTAGATAAATATGAATATAAACTTAGGTCTTTCATACCCTCCGTAAGTGTCCTCTCAGTTGTACAACCCCGTACCTTGTATGTCACTCCCCCCTGGTCCCCACCTGTTGCATCTCCGGATAATTTTGAGAAGATTTGGGGATCACTTCTTGTATCACTTGTTTTTTTTCTGGGATGAGAGACCAGTTTTCCAGCTAGGTGTGATGATATGGCACTGAGCAGTAGCAATCCTAGACGAGGCCTGAGGCACCTCCATTCGCAGGACAGATGATGCTTTGCACTTGAAGAATAAGAAACACAAAATTTTGAGTGTTCACAAAAAATGTTAAAATGGAAACGCAGTCAGCCGAGAAGTTGATTTTCAGACTGAACTTTCATGGGACCTTTTTTTCTATATCCATTCAAGTTCGGTGTTTGAGCTTTCCTTTTGCTTGCCTTGCAATCATTCAGATTCATAAAAGGCTTTTTAAAATCACAGAGGTAATAATTTGTTGAAGTTGAACTGTATTTGATGACTGAAGAAGTCAATGTGACGGTACAAACAACCCTTTAAAAATCTGGATATGGCATGAAAACCGTCCCTAAGAATTTTTCTGAAGGAAGAGGTGAAGGTCTTCCTTTTGAATAAATTATTTGAAGGTGATATCAAAGATGCAGACATTATTCTTTTCTCTTCTGTTTTTCTGTGGCATGTTCAAGCAGGATCTGAAGGGCAAAGAATGCCTCTGTGGTTAGGAACAGAGCTGGGCTCGAAGTATGACTTTAGGCTGTCAGCTGGTATCCCGAAAACTGTTAAGATTTTGCAGCAGCCTGCATGCTGTTTTTCTTCATGGTGTGAACATCTGGCCAGAGACATTACTAGAACTAATTTGGCTTTGCTGAGTGCAATAGGAAGTGAAAGAGGGTGGTAGAATCTGGGCCCTAGTAAGGATGAACTGTTTCCCTGATTAAATTCTTCTCCATGGAAAAACATACTGCAGCCAATGAGGAACAGAAATCTTGGAGTTGTTCTTCTAATCCTAAAATACTCTTATTTTTACAGTCTATAAAGGAACTGTATTTCTTGTGCCCATAGTGAAACACAGCGGTTTGCTGAAGTGGTGAAAGCGAGAAGTAAGATTGGAGCTGCATGGTAAATGCGAAGGCGATGTAACTGTCCTTCCCAATGCAAACAGCTTTGAGGAGGCAGCAATGCTGGAAAGAAAAGTTTGCAGACAATTTGAATTTGAACATGCAAAATTTAGAAAACTTCCCTAGAAAAATTTGGACTTTGGCAGCATGGGCGGAGGCTGGTGAAATGATCCATCCTGTGTCACAGGGGTGACACTGCAGCGAGCCCGAAACCCATCAGAAATATTGCACAACGCTCCAAAGACAGCACGTGCTTTTGAGCTGGCAGAGCTTGATTATGAAATTCATCTCCAGACAAGTGACTACCTTGTTGAATGAGAACGTGTGAGACAGCTGCTGAAATCTGTAAACACCAGAAGAAACTTTTAGGGGTGGTTTAATGGACAGTGTCAGGGTTAATGGAGGGCAGAATTATAAAAGAGCCCTGTGCCCTCACCCAAATTGAAGCTGGAAGCCAAAAGTAGTGGAAGGTGGAGGTGGCTTTTGCCTGGAGACCCTTTTCACCCCTGGAAATTGGACTCTGCCCACAGAAATGATCTCCATGGCAGGTGCCTATGGTTTGGCAGCGAGTACAGGAAGGGGGGAGTATGGTGAATGGCTTTATTTTGAGGTGTATCTTCTTCCTACATGCCTAAAAACCAGCCATGAGACACTTGTCACCAACTCTGGAATAGCACCCGTGTCCTGGAAGACATGGCAGGGTCTCAAGATTTTTGTTCCTCAACGTGACCAGTTACTGGCTCCTGTACCCCAGGCAGGATTTGGCATCTACATGGCACAGCAATAGTGGGTTTGTGACCGATCTCTAATTTGCGGTGGTATTTTGGCCCATTTGCTCAAGTTTTTTCCTGCATCTTACTAATAACCACTTAGTTTTACACTTTTTAAATCAACAAGACCTTGTGCCCTCATTCCTTGGGTGGTTTCGTGAGGCAACGCAGCGTCTGTATCTCTGTGGTCAGAGGGGATTTGCTTTTTTTCCCCGTGTGTGCAAACTGGAGGAAGCAGGAAAGCAAACTTTCCTGTTTGTGTATCAATATTTTAATAGCCCGCGTCTTGAAAAACCAGACTACTTGAATACCAGATGTAAGTGGCTTTTCTAAAACGCTATTTTACTTTGAAATCTGTCGCTGGATATTACGTTGCTTCCTCTTGAGAGCCCGAGGAAGCCCACATATTGGTTCCAGAAGCGTTCAGGACCCATAGAAATGAAATAGCTTGTAAAAAGCTTGCATGTTAACTCCTGTTTACTCATCAGTTTAGGCAGCGGTGGTTTCCTACTGTCTTCAGCTCCTAGTAGTCCTCACTGCGGGGACGATGCACTGGTCCAGCTCCCCACGCAGTTAAGCGCTCATGCTCCTCCATGCTGGGTCTACCAGCACCAGGTTAATTTATTTTATTTTATTTTATTTTATTTTATTTTATTTTACTTTGTTTTGTTTTGTTTTATTTTTTTATTTTATTTTATTTTTATCTATATGTCTCGCGAGGTAACTGGAATCCTGGTGACGTAGCAAAACAACGCTTCGTCCTTTTTTCTTTTTTTTTTCTGCCAGCTTCCCATGCT